CTTTCAGAATCAAACATCTTTGAAAATTCTTGTGTAAATCTTTTCCAATCTGTTTTTATGTCTATTGGTAAAACTGAAAACCATTTTTGAGCTGCACCATCAAGTGTTGTTTGTATTAACGCTGTGCGTCTATGTATCCAGTTTTGGTGAAGTTGTGTATTAGTTGGTTCAGGTCCTATATTTAAAATTAAACTTGCTGTGACTGCATTTATATAAGCTTCTACAGAATATTCAGGGTCTGTGCCTGTAAATACCATCAATGGTTTATTTGATGTTATTGACGATCAACCCATTAGTAATGGATTCATAGTCATTTGTAGTGATTCTGCGGCATTTGTGAAACGTTTGTTAGTTGGTTTTTGTTCTTTCATGTTGTTGTAAATAATATGGTAGTGGTTTTTCATTTCGCATTTGCGTTGGTTGATAATAGTCTGTATTTACTGGGTTTTGTGAATAAAAATTATTTTTTTTTGAGATGCGTGATTTGGTCTAGGTTGTCGCATATGTTGTTCTCGTGTATATCTGGTTGATTTACGTGATAAGAGTGGAGTCTTTGGTTTTGAAAATTCTGTTGATGGTTTTGGTCGTAAAAATTGTCATCATCTGATGAAAGATAACTTGGTGTATAATAAGGTGTTTTTTTGTTTATTTTGGTTTTGCTGTTTACTGTTATTATTCTGTTGAAAAAATGAGTAATTTTCACTAGTGTCTTTTGGAATTCATGGGTTATCGTTAAAATTTACTAAGTTTGATGTTGGTTGTTGGAAGTTTTGTCGTTGTGAAAATAAATGATTTTGCGAGTTTGTACGAGGAGGTTTAGATGTTTGTGATTCATTTACATAGTTATAACTGTGTTCTGCAAAATTACTTCTGGTGAATGTTCTTTGTTTTTGTGTTGGTTTCGTCATTGGTCTAAATGTTTGGTAATCCATATGTGAATATTTTGGAGCAACCGAGGGTTTAACTGAAGATTGTAATGTTACTTGTGTTAATGTTGGAATTTTAGGTTTTGGCGTTGTAAGGTTTGGATGTATTGGTGAAATACTTTGCTGTGTAGTTGTTACAATTGTTCCAACTATTTCATCATTTATGAAATGGGATGGTGTTTGAATATCCTGTTGTGTAAGATTTCTAGTTCCATTTAAATTTTCTTGTTGTACAAGAGTTGAATTTAAACTATTATTTTGTCTTCTATCGGGTAAAAATGAATTATAGTTTGAAGGTGTTGCATCTGTTGTAAGTGGAAATACTTTTACATAGTCTTTATGAATAGCTATTGTACTGATTGCTTGACTTGAGATGTCTATTGGAATGTTCAGGAATAATGGATGAGACCAATCAGGGTCCCAAATATAATCTGATTGTTCGGCAATGACAGTGTCATCATTGGTAATTTGAGATCTAAAATTTTTTCTTGCTTGTGCAATTAAATCAATATTATGTGTGAAATAGTCAATTATGAACCATCCTAAGATTTTTTGTAAATCGTGTTTAACATTTTGTGAAATTCCATTGTTTGAAAAATTTTCACGGATTGTGTTTAAAAATGCTGAGAATGCGGCAATTTTATTTCTTACGTTTGTGTGCCTTGATGTTTGAACTGGTGACGTGCTCTCGGTTTCTGTCTTTTCTAGTATAGATAAATAACTATATATTATTGCAAAAACATCGTTAGTAAATATTGAATTTGCTCTCTGTGAATTTTGTTGTTGTATGTTTTTAATGTATTCTGCGAATACTTTTGAAAATTCTATGTCGACGCCGTCTGTTTGAATAACATGTTTACCATTAAATTTACCTGCTGTACTGATTTCAATGGTGTAAATTCTATTTTGTTGTGTTAGGTTACATATTCCTTTAGATAATGATTGACAATTTGTCTTTTGATTTTTATTTCTGAGAATTCTGCTTTACATGGGCTAATTCCTTGTTCGAATAAATTGGCGATTAGATTATTGCAAAATTGTTTTTGTCCTCTATCTTCAGTGAGTGAATTGATGACAAATGGGACAACAGAGTTTTTGTCTGGACTTTCGTCACTTGGACTTTGGCTCATTTTTTCGTTTTATGACTGTTAGTGCGTAATGTTCGATGTGTCTGATTGGTTGGTTCCAACTGTATAAACGTACTGGTTTATTTTTGTATATCTTTTTTATTCTTCCTTCTCCTGGTTTTGATGAATGTGATGTGGCTTCTGAATTGGAAAAATATAATTGATCTCGAACTGGGTAATTTTTATTCACTGTGTCTTTTAGTTTGCAAAGTGCATCTAAATTACTGACTTCTGATTCGGAGACTGCGTTTCTACGTTTTGAAAATCTTTTTTTTTTGTGTAATTTGTCTTTGTTTACTTAAAATTTTTCTTTTTATTGTTTTTCGTTTTGTTCGAATATATCCAATTGTTTGTTTGTGCGGTGTATTTACAAGATCGTATGTTTCGTTGTTTATTTCACAATTGTGTAGTACGATTGTTTGTTTATTTCCTAAATTGTTCAGTGACATAACGTTTAGGATGAAGGATGTAAAATTGTTATTAGTGATTTTAATATCCTAGACTATTAGTCCTTACGATTTTTTGGTTAGCCTAACTTGGGTCTTTTATTCAGGGTTGGAGAGAAAAGTATATATCGATTCCAGAGAATGATTGTTACTTTCTCGTGGCTATTCTAAGTTAAGGTGTTAACTTACTTAATCTTACTTAGGGGTAGTGATTGTGTTCAAGGGTTGGAGAATAGTAAATCGATCCACAAGGTTCAGGTATAATTAGAACGCAAGTATTTCGCTAGGTACTATTTTAATACTTACTAAGATTTAAGATTTAGGCTGGGTCAGGTAAGAGGGAGGGTTAAGTGAAGGATGAATAACCGAAGTTCTTCACTGTTTAGCCTAATTTGAATGGTTAGAGTGATTGCAAAATTTCTATTAGTCCTGGGTCTTTGCAAGGGTTGGGTAGTGAATCGACGTTTGAGGTCGTTAGACACTGTATTTATTGGGTGGGGGAGAACAAAGTTGTTCTATTTGATCCAAGGATAGTCTTTGATGATCAGGATATAAATTTCAATGGTATAAAATGGATTAAATTTAACTATTTAATGGAGATCCAAGGAAAGCCTTTTGATCTAATTTAAGATTGGATAAGTTGAAGTCAAATATGGGATAATCCTTTAGAAATAATGTAAGTTATATTGATAGAAAGGTTTAGTTTTATATGATATTAGCGGTTAAATGATTGCTGTTATGTTTAGGTGATGAAACTGGGGTTGCCAGGATGATTTGTATATACTAATAATTTATGATCATGTTAACTAATTTTTATTTTTTAGTTTCAAAAAATAAATTTTTCAGATATCTTTTTGAATTTTACTGCAGTTTTGGAGGAAACGATTTGAGGTCTTTTTATAAATTGTTATTGTACAAAAAAACTTTGGTTTAGCGCCGGAAATAACCATTGAAGAATTTTTTTCACGGATTTTATGTTTGCAAATAAAAATCTAAATTCATTGCTAGTAAAATTCTAAATATCAAAGTTGGTGTTGGCTTTTGCCGTACGACCATGAAACTTAATGGTAAGTTTCTTTGTAGTCGTAGATCGTCTCTCGTCCGAGGTCTTCTTCCAATACCGGGTATTTCTCGTATTGTACGGAATAGCGGCTCTGATCTATTGAGTTGTAGAGACATTTCAAATAAATTATTGTCATATAACATTTTGAAAATGTTTTTGTCTATTTCTAATCTATCTTGTTAGTTCTAAGCTAATTTGTTTTTAAGGTCTTGTTCGAGACTTATGGTCGCACCAGATGAGTTAGGTTCGAGGTGTAACTCATAGAGTAATTTCAGATAGGGTACACCGTCTGCTCGTCACGCTATTTTACTTTCGGCCGGATAGATTCGTGCAACTTCTTAGTCTCATACCGATCCTAATCATACTCTTATATCTACTAGTCTCAGGGTGTTTAACTAGTCTCTGCTAGGCTCAATATATCTAGAGTATACTGGCTTATTGCGATTGCTTTAAGGTCTTTTGGAGAGGTAACTAATTTCTAAGTTAAATTCAAATCTCTCTGGTGCTGAAATTACAAGTAGTTTCAGCACTTACAAATAAGTGGGTTGTTAGTTAGATGGATCATGATTGGTTAATATTAAATATTTCATAGAGATAAAATATCCAATTTATAACCAATAATAAATATAGTTTATATCTGATTCCACAACATTTTCGGATTCTAATCAAATTGCCCCTTACAAGTTAATTTCGCAAAATCTTCAGATATTCCAAAATAGCCAAACCAGTAACTTTCAATCCCCTTTAACACTAGGAAATCGGTCACCATTGAGACAAGTTTTCGAAACAAGTTTCAGCTGAAGGCATCTAAGCGTTTCATATCTCTCTGAAAACTAGGCCAAAAGTGGCTAGTCAAGAAGTCGAAAGTTATCTCATGAAAAAACGGCAAGCATACGGAGCAAAAATATCTATCACTTCCTTCCAAAAAATAGAAAAAACAGCAAGTATCAAGGCAAAGGCAAATTACTGAACTTTTTGAAAGCCTTTTAATGAATCTTTTGCTTAAATTGTGATAAGTGTTCAAAAAGTTAAAAGCAACTAGTATTTTTATCAATTTTTCAAATCCAACCACCCCACCCTCCAAACACAATGAAAAAGTAAAATGAGAGTAGATTTTTGTTATTAGTATAAATTATTAGCTTAAGCTGTTTGTGAAATACTTTTATAAATTCAAATTTTGAATGGAGAAAAAACAACCCCCGAGTACAAATATTCCGTCAGTTTCTTCTAATTTCGGAATATTTGCAAATTTCGAAAAATTTCTCAGGAAAAAAGTAAAGTTTGGCTGGATTTTATCTCTCAAGGTTGCCTGACATGTTGAATTTGCATGCAGATTTTGTTTAAAACTGGCACACTTTTTTAAAATTAATATTGATTGTTCGAACTTTTTTCATTTTGAATTATGGGCAACTTTTCCTGCTATGATCTGATTTTATAGGTGATGTGTGGGTACCTGCAGGAGGGTGATTTGACAGACGATGAGATATTGCAAGCAGTGGCCAATGCCTCCAAAGTGTACTACAACTACTACGATCAATATCCTTGTTTCAACATCTCAGAGGGGGACATAGGACTGGATGCAAACATATGGGGATATCAGGTGAGGAGTTCGGGGACCGCCCTTTTGCCAGACCGACATTTTACCAGAAAAGTCTATAACATGCATTATTTACCAGACTCGATAAAAATATTTGATTGACAGAGGTAATGATTCCGTTAAGTCTGGTTGGAAAATAATTTCAATTTCTCGACGTAGTTTTGTTTGTTCTCACCGCTTCCTTGTCAAATCTTTCACTAATTTAAACTTACCTTATTTGAATTATTTCATTGTGGTCTGGTTAAAGGTCGGTCTGGTAAAAAGACCTAGCCCCGAGGAGTTCATTACCAGATATAGCACCACGCGAATCTACGTTTGTGATTTGCGGTTCTTGATTTGATCGGCACGCATCGAACAGACTTAAGTCCGGGGTGGCTTTCTCATAGCGTAATTTTGGACAAAGTAAAACGTCTGTTCGTCACGCTATCTTATTTTCTGCCAGGCAGATTCGTGCAATTTCTTAGTCTAATACCAATTCCAGTCTTACTCGTTTATTTTTTAGTCTCAATAGATCTAGTATATACTGGTATTCTTGCGAGGTTACAGGAGAGGAAGAGCAACTGTTTGCTAAGCTAATTTTATTGTTCTCTGGCTGAAACTATAAATTGTTTCAGCTTTACAAGTTACTGTAAGTTTTAATCATGGATCATTATTGGTTAGTTCTAAGTATTTTACACTGATATTTATCAAGAATCTAATTGAATATTTTAAATATTGTTTTGAACTGGTTCCAGCCATTCGGGGTTGAGGAAGTTTTTAAGTCTTAAGTTTTTCCCAGTGAAGGATGGATGATTAAATTGAGTAGATTCTTTGAAGGGAGTGAAGAGAAAAGAGTGACAGTTGCTCTTTTGACATAGTTGTCTGCATAGAGAGAGAGAGAGAGAGAGAGAGAGAGAGAGAGAGAGAGATAGAGAGAGTACAGAATTGAGAATGCTGTAGTTAGTAGAAGTGAAGAGCTAGGTGACTAGGATTCGTATTTCATTGTTCAAACTGGAATTGACCATTATTATTGTTCAATGGATACCTTTGGTGCGATTTCGGCTCTATTCTTATATCCTGCGAAAGTTGTGACTGCAATACCACTAGGTTTTCATTAGAGTCGGAATGTCACCGAGTTTTCGTCTCCTTTTGTTCTGATAATATTTTAACCTTTGAAACATCTGTAACTTGTTAATAACTTCAGTTTTATTTATGATATTTGTTAGTTATTTTCGAAAAAGCGTTTCAATTAGTTCGATTATTTTGAAGATTGGCTCAAACTAGAGCTACTGTTAGCAACAATTGTGGGTCAGGCTTCTCCGTACATGTCGAGCACATGTAGCTCGACCTACATCTGGTGGGTGAGGCCAGAAAAGAATACTTTTGATTGTCTCTTTGAGTTGAGTCTTATTTGTGTACTTTTTCTCTTATATCAGGGGTTTTCTCTTTTGCTTCTTGATTGTTTCTTTTTCTCCAAAATGGATTATGTTTATTTTGTGTTTTCTTTGTGTTTATTACCGTTTCATGTGGTGTCGTTCAATTCTTGATTTTGGGTTCCAAAAAAAATTATCCAGTTTAATCTGGTATCAATCTGGTTTGGATACCGTGAGATTTTCCTATACATCTGGTTGGTAAATGGTGTTAGTCAGCTGCGTTGGTTATTTACGCATAGCTTTAATTCCTTCTTTCAACCGGATTAAGGGAGGTTTGAAACGTATGAAAATCAGGTTGAAGTTGTAGTCAATTAATTTGCTAAGCTAGAAATTCATTCAATCTCAATTTTTATCGTGGCGAAATTAGTCAAATGGTGTGAAAAGAGTGCGTGAAATTAGGGCGAGTCAAATAGCGAATTTGAGATTTGCAAAGCTTTAGCAGACTTAGAATAGGTTAGTTCTTTCCGAATTCAATACATTAAATAAGATAAAACTTCGTAAAGGTAAGTCACGACATAATTATACTATTCACTACTGCTTATTTATTTTACTGCCTTTTATAAAATTCAAACAAACAGTTCGCAATTTGATTTAAAAATTCTATAAAAAATTACAAAATGTTCTTTTTTATTCGGAACTTACATTGTTTTCAGAGAAAACACCGGTGAAATTTGAAAAGAAAATAGTGAAACAGAGGCGTAAAATTGGTAAAAGGTGAATATTAAAAATTAATTAGTGACAAACATAAATTCATACTTACTAAGCGTTGGGCTCAGTTTTTTGCAAAGCTTAATTTCAATAGTGATGGATTGCAAGAAGAGTTTTGCAAGCACTCGAATGAATTTTTTAATATGTAAAAGTGGCCAAAGAAGCTACAGTGCGCGAATGGTTTTGAGTTTGTCAGCAGTGGCGGAAAATTCATGGTTTGTAATTTGTATTAAAATATATAGTTTGTGATTAAATTCGGTGTTATGATTTTTTTCTATGAGGGGAACTTCAATAGGTCAGATTGACTCATGCGGAATATTGTTGAGGCGGGAGTCTTCAAGAGGTGAGTTGTCGTGAGGGGACAAAGTGTATATATATTTCGGACGGGATATATCGTAACTACGGAGGATGTCGTGGAGGTTGGTAGTTTTATTACAATATGTGAAGTTAGGAAAATAAGGCGAGAAGTATTTGGAATTATTAAACATGCAATAATGATCGGGATTTCCGGATGGGGAGCTTTTTAGAAATTGACGTTGGATGAAGCGGTATTATGTGTGGATGTGAGTAAGCTTGGTTTCTAGCAGGAATTCATACGAGCACTTTTGGAATGAAGTCTCGCTCTTTTGGAATGAAGAAGTTAAAGGTTAGTTGGAAATGATCAAATTTGCTGAAGTATGATTCTTATGCTTAAGCGTTCTGTAGTGCATGATCGATAATAAGATCATTTTTTTCTAGTACCATCTAAACCAAATATGTAGTCGGTTTTAGTTAAAAAAAGTTTCTCGATTAGTTGTAATTTTACTGCCGGATCACTTTCATAGGGTGAATCTTCCGTGTAGTAAATGACTGTGTGTCATAATGAGTGATAGAGAACTGGTTAGACTTTCTTGCGATAAAGCGGCTTAGTATTCGTGAGAGTCCAATATCAGTAAATTGTTTGAGGTGGAGTGCAGTGGTGAGTTGATGACTGGTAGTGTCACATAGTTCATTGTCGTCTGTGTTTCCTCTCAGTGGTATCTTTAAAGGGTTAGTAAAATTATGAAAAGATATCCAGGCGAATGTAGGGAGAAGGGAAATTTCGTCGACATAGGTGTTTTGTTGACTCTGGGCTTCGTTATTGTCATATGTACATAGGTTTTCAGTTAGAAAATGTGATGTTTTTGTATGGCGATGGTGGTTACTTTGAATAAGACGTGATGATGTTGGGCGAATGAGCAAATATGTAGGGTACGTTGTTTCATGACGATTCACAGTGTACTGGTGGGAGCGTTGCGAATAGATGATGTGGATGATTCTGAGGCTGAAGCGGTGTTTGTAATTGATTGACAGGAAGTTGCTGGGTAGTATTGTCAAGCTGTTGTTGGTTGTGTATAAAATCATCGAATTCATGCTCGAGCATCAGTCATGGGTCTGGGGTTGCCAGGTAATTTACTGGAAAGAGGGGAAAGAATGGGGCTAGCGTCGGTGTAGGAAGAGCTGGACATGGAGAGTAGCACAGACAGGAGTTGAGGGGATTGTTGGGACAAAAAGTTGGTTGCAGAAAGTTAGTAGGGCTCGGTTCGGAGTCTAAGAATTCATCGGATGTGTCAATGGTTGGGTTTTGGATTTTGGGTTTTGGGTTTGTTAAGAAAATCAGAAACAGTTTGTATGGAATCATTGGAGTGCATTTGAAGTGAGGTAGATAAAGAGGTAGAAACACTAGGGCTAAAAATTGGTACAGGCAAGAGGTAAAGTCGGAGACTGAAATGACAGACAGAGTGTTGTCTGTAGAGGTTGGAGGGATATGAGAGAGAACAACTCAGTGATCCAATCTGACGGCTCATGGGCTGAAGGTATGGTTGTTTTGAGAACGAAATTTTATAGTTTGTGATTGTTCTAATATTTGTCCATATGTTTCATCAGTGTTCTGTGGCCGACATGCTATCTGTGAAATAGGGCTTCGTTGCTTTTCATTTTTTTGTTAGAAGCGTTATGATAATGAGAATGTAGTCCTATAGCTTTGTCGTGTTATTTGTAATTGATTATTATTTGATAGGTTGTGTAGATGTGAAGGTGTCGTACTTGCAGTGTTTTGTGGAGTGTCGTATGTGTTTGGGGAAAGGAATTCAAAATATCCTGCGAATAAAGTTCTTGTTATGCTAGCTTGTCTATGAACTTGTGTGTGGTTTGCGCTTGTTTTGTATATTCCTTTAAGAAGAGAGAACAAAAATCATATGAACTTAATCACTTAAACATTGCGTACAATATAGTCAATCTTTCTAGAATGTAATAAAAATACTTTTTCGACCCTGCTGGAGATATGTTTCGACAGTGCTCGAGGTATGTTTTCTTTGACCTTGCTCGAGGTTTGTTTCGAATTTGTGCTCGACGCAAACCCCTGTTTTGACTAGTCAGTTTTGGTCGAGCACTGACATGTTCTCGACTTTGATAGTCGAAACATAAAGACAGCACCTGGACACGGTAAATGCGCGATTGCTGAATTGCTTGGTCACTGAAGCGCTATTCGTATTCTCGTTTGTTTGTAAGATTGTTTGTTTGTCTGTTATTGTTTGTTTGTTTGTTTATGTAGGCCTGCACAGAGATGGTGATGCCGATGTGTTCGAGGAAGGGAGAGAGTATGTTCCCCGACAGCCAGTGGAGTTGGGAGGAGGAGAAAAAGGCATGTGAGGACCAGTTCCAGTTCCCCCCAGGCAACTTCAGACCCTACTGGATGGTCACCCAGTACGGGGCGAGGCAGATTGAGAGCGCGTCTAACATCATCTTCAGGTATACTATAGTTATTGTATACCAGTTCAATCTAATTAGTTAGCTATGTTTCTTTTGGCTCAACGAAATTAACGAAATTCAGCAACCTCAATTTTCTCACTTTGTATAGCCCGGATTGACCAAAATTCCAGTCATACACTTTCCATAAATAGAAAAATGCTAATCATACAGTCATTAGTACAGAAAATTGCATGAAAGGTCTAGGAGTAAGAATTTTCATATGAAGAAGTTGCATGTTTAAAACTTTTTCATATATGAAAATGTCATAATTAGCATTTTTTTCTAAGATCAACAATAGAGAAGAAAAACTTGAAAAAAAATTGTTTTTCCTGTAATTCTCCTCAATTGTCTTATCCTTCATCTTATCTTGGTGGAATCCATATGAGGTAGGGCTGCTTCAGAAGAGAAAAAAACTGTTATTTAACTTATGAACCCAAAATCCTGATCCAGAAAGCTCAAGTTTTGGCTATTTTGTCCGAGGCAAATTTTCCATGCGACTCTTGCCGTCCAGTCAGAGCTGTCATCACCAGTAGCGGATTTAGAGGGAGGACTCCCTCTTCCTCAGGGATTCCACCCCCATATCGACGCAAAGGTCCCCCTTTGTAATATTGTGAAATACCTATTTTTGGTAACGGACCCTAAAATTGTTCTAAAGGCGCCTTTGGCGCCAATCTATACTAATTTTGAGGGGGGAGCGCGCGCCGAAAAATCGCAATTTTTATGGTCGAAATTTTCCAAAAAGAGCATAAAAACGGCCTTTTTGACCTGTTTTTTTTTTACAAATTTGCCTGCGACGCAGAAAATTTTGGCACATTAGGCTCTTCATATTGATTTGGTTGACCTAGAAAAAAAATTCGACAAAATTTTCTAAAACTTTTTTGAAAATCCGTCCTCCCCCCCCCCCCCCCCCCCTCGAGAAATTCCTAGATCCTTGCCTGATTATCACCATTAAAACTCTAGAAACAAAGAAAATGACACGTGCGAGAAAACAAACACATTAAAGCCGACACAATTACATGAAAAAACTAAATTTTGAGTCTCTTGATGAACACAGTAAGAAGTCAGCCAGGCGATGCCGATGGCGTACAGAAAATACACACTGTACAGATTTTCAATGTAAAAACTGTACATTAGTGTATTTCTGTGCGAATCGGTGGCTGACTTCCAATTAGGTCATTTCAGATACGAAACCTATGGTGCACTTTAAAATCAATTTTGACCAGTAAAAACGAGTAAGCTATTACAGCGTCAAAATGAAGAAAGCAATTTTGGAGTTTTGCAAACAAAAAGGAAATATTTTTTGCATGCTTTTTTACTTGAGTAGGTTACCGTAAGTAAAAGCTTCAGTTAAAAAAGCCTGTTAGGGTTTCAAGTAAAGCCAGTTATATTGAAAAAGAAACAGATGGCCCAAAATTTATCCGAAAACTTCTGCGATGCACGTGTTATCTAGCCAGGGCAAAATCTTAGAACTCCTGCCAGGAGCTTAAAGGGTTCCTGGAAGGAGCCGTCTTCATCTAAACATTTCTATGATTCCGTGTTATCAAAGAACACATTTGAAAAACCAGGCCTGGACGCCTACTAGAAACCGTTGCAGGAAATCAAAGGAAATCAAAGGTTTTTTCAAAAAGTTTGGCAACAATAATTGGCTTTTGCTTGGAAGATGTTCTAAATAAACTATCTATACATATCTATAGCACTTCAAACGTCCTAGTGTGTTTTCCTTTTGAGAACAAGAGTTGACGCCTGAATCTATTCAAGTTTTGTTCTCACTATTTTGCTTATGACAAAGCGGGAATCCGATTACCTTTTTCTGAAAGTTTGAGTAATGTTTTTCAGCTTCTACTATATGTAAAGTTTTAAAATTACAAATCTGAAAAAATCCATCGATCTAATTTCAGATTAAAGAAAGAAGCTTAATTTTTGGTTTTCTCTACACAAATTTAATTTTGGTCAATTGTTGTCCAAAGTTTTTTGAAAACAATCAAAACAAAAAAGCTATTCCTGAAACAACTCTTTTGGGGCAAAGTTAGCCTCAAAATCCTGGCTTGCCCGAATCATAAGCTTATGTTTGTGTAACCACTGAGAATTTGTAACGCTGTTTATCCTCATCGCTAGGCTAAAAACAGAGCTTACTGCTGACGTATTCTACGTTTCCTAATTCGGCATGGTCGTTGATATATTAGTTTTTGAAAGCCAGTGTAATCATTCCAAGACTTTGACCTTGTTTTTCCCCTGACCAGGCTGCAAATCCTGCTACCCTTTCCCCTGGCTCCAGGATTTTTTTCAGGGATGGACTTCCATGTACATATAACCCCAGTGATCAAATTTATGGTTCTCAGAATCTTTAAAAATTTGTCACAAAGAGTTATTAGATCGTGGAAATAGTTATTCTTCCGACTTTCGATACGAAAGTAACGGAATATTTGTGCTCGGGGTGGGTTGTTTTTTTCTTCAGACAAATTTTGACTTTTTAACTAGCCATTTTGACGGAATTTTTTTATATCATTCGAAAGGTAATGTTGTCCTGAACTTGAATTTGAAAAGATATTTTACCTGTGATCATTTTTCGTAAAGTTATGGGGGTTTAAAGATTGCCATTTTGGTCAATTTGGGACAATTAACGCGCGATAAATTTCGCGCTATTAACGCTTAAGCGAGATTTAATCCGTCTTAGAAATTGTTCCAAATTGGGGCAAGGAAGCTTATATGCCATAATTGATTTGTTAATGGCCGCAAAATCTACCACTTCAAACTTAATATGACGTGTGGGGGGATGTTTTTAAATAAAATCTTAAATTTTTTCAAAATTTTTTAAAAATTTTTTTATTACATTGAAAGGCAGTCGGAACATTCAGGGCTTCGCCCTGATACGAGCAGTCTTGTTAGATCTATATTTTGAAATCTTTTTTCTACATCTCAAATGAAACGCATTTTGAGAAAAAACCAACATAAACGGTTAATAGCTTAAGCTAGCTCTGACAAAAATAGCAAACCGTTTTTAAAGCCGGTAATTGTGAACAGAAATTTGATGAGACATAAATTACTGTATATAAAGTTTGAGCTCGAAGTTTCCAAGTAACTACAAGTGCGGAAGCAAAATCGATCAGATAACGATTAATAACCGCAGTCATGATTACAAAAACGGAGCCTACAAAAAATTTCTTTTCATACTCGGTTTTGAACAGAACAACACATTCGACAGTTTCGGAAGTAATGATATTGAAACAGCATATATGGACACCTTTAACAAACTGAAAATGAACAAAGATGGCGAGTTGCTGTACAAGTAACACAGTCTGTTCAAACCACATTTATAAAAAAACACAATCAAAAGTTTTTCTAGAAGGGGTGTCGTTTTATTGTGCATAGCGCAATGTCAGATGTGTACAAACGAGAAAACCAAAACTTACCTTGATTTGGTGAAAAAACAAACAAAAACGAGTGAAACAAAAGTTATTTAGGAATTATCAATAACATTTTGCCCCGACAAATGAACAAAAAAAAATTCTGAATAACTTTTCCGAAGGGTAAATTTTAACTTTGTAAAAGCGTCGTAGCTCGACAACCATAGCTAAGTGAAAATTAAAAAACTTTTTTTGCCAGATGTTTCTCGAAAAATGCCCACTTTTAAGAAAATACCGATAATGTCAGATAAACGCTATATAAACAAAATGAGTCAATGCAAACAAGTTACGTCGAATTCATAAGTTCAGTGTTGATTTACCAACTGATGAAATAGAATTTTAGCCTCGTTCTGTTAAAGTTTGCTATCTTTGAAACAACTGCTAGTCATGCTTTTTTCATTAATCGAAAATGTATGACTAGCATTGCTTTTCAGAAACAAAAAAAGCTAATTAAGTTTTTCAGTTGTTGCCACGCAAATAACGCCTAATTTTTTTCCCAGCATTTGAGTTAGTTGTTTATTTAGGACTTTTTGAAAAAAAACTTTAAAAAATGCTAATTTTGAAATTTCCATACAGGGAAATTATATGATTAGCGCTTAACCTAAAATTTAATTGTTTCTGAATGGTAATGATGCTCAAGGAAACCGATACTTCCGCAACAACTTTGAACTTTAAACCCTAAACATGTTTGCCTGCAAAATAAAAGCCGCAGTTTTTAAACTCTTAAATCAAGGGCGGATCTTGCCAAATACAAGTTATAGACTCAATTCGAGGTCCAATTTAAAATTAATCTGATATCCAAACCCTTTTTTTTCTTTTCGTAAGGATTTTGAGAATTTAGAATTGGCTAGCGTCATATCTTTTGACACTATGTTTATGATCAGCCAGCGTGCTATTAAAATACACTGCAAAGTTTTCTTTTAATGAAACAATTCAGAGCTAAGGTTGAGTTTTACAGCACTCATACGTGGCGGGCTTTACGGTTGTTTTGATAATTCTAAGAAACCCTAATGTCTCTCTTTTCATCTTTTTGAGGAAGTATGTTCAAATTGTTTCCAAAAGAATTGAGTGTACTTTTTACACACTTTCTTTTTTATTTTAAGATATGGTTTTGTCTATATAAAAACGGAAGTGTCTCTCTCTTCTCAGTTAAAAATTTTGCTATTTCTGCAGAGCAATTCACTATTCTGCTATTTCTGATCAATCTGCATAGTCAATAAGTATTTGGTCAAGTGCTAGTTGTTAAATGAGTGAATACTTCTGTTACTTGTTACCTAAATGTGTATCAAGGCACAATTAATTTTTATGACGGTGTTCTATTGTAACGAAAACATTTTTGATTTCTAAATCAGCGAAAAAACTTTATCTTCATATCTGCAAATACTCTAACCAATGAAAGGTGAAAAAACATGATACAATTCAGATCTATCAACTAAGTAATCTGAATTCTTTTTCTAAAATGTGTTCACCGAAAAAGACGAAGTACTTCATGTTTTGACTCATTTGCTTGTTTATAGTTGTTTTCTTGTGTAAAAATTAGTTTTCATTGTTTTTTTTAAAAACCTTTAACATAACATATTTGAGCTGAAAATCTTGTGCACTTCGAGGTATCTGCTAACAGAATAAATTTTTCTCTTAAAATGAAGAGAAAAAACCTCTAGAGTTTCTTTTTTTTTACCAATAATCACCTCAAAAGCGACTGTTTCTAACAAAAGTTTATTCTCAGTGTAAACGCTAAAATGTTATGAAAGAAACACATCAAAAGGGCGACAGAAAACGTCAAGTTTGGTTTCATATTAAAAGCTTTTTTCAGATCTGTTTTTTAAATATTTAAACGTTTTACTATTGAAAAATTATCCTAATTTAAAAGTATGTTGTGATAATCAGAAACGTTCTGATTGAAGCAGAATTCTATTTTTCAACTTGTTCCATGATATGCCAAAAAAATTGTTCCGAAAATCAAAAATAAAAAACATCTAACATTTTTTTGACTTCTCTTCACACATTTTTTAACCAAAATTATATTCTCAGCTTATTCATCAAAATTTGAAACTGCAAATAAACCCCAAAATTAACCAAAAAATTTCGGTGTTGATTATGATATCGCATGCTCAATTAAAGTTGTTTTTGTGTGGAAACATCGTTTGCATAAATAGCACTATATATGGTGCGACGTATGGTTTGCATGGTGGAAAAAAATCAAAATGTATTAAAAGCGTATTTTGCACTACGGATAGTTTTTTTAGTCGTTTTTTACGGTTTTATAGAGAAAAAGATTTGGTGAAAAATCTCTTCCATACGTAGCACCATATATGTTGCGACGTATGATTTGCATGGTGAAAATTTTTGATATTTTAGCAACAGCTTGCATAATGTTGAGAAACCGTTTTATTACTATTTTACTCCGTTAAAATGTTATTTTGAGGGTTTTCAAAATCAACGTATGTGCTACGTATGATTAATCATTTTCCATACAAATCATGCATGGCAACCCGGGTCAAGCTCATTTTTTTACATGAACCAAATGTAAGGCCAGCGAAGCGGAGCAAGCATTCCTTAATTACCAATGCCAAGTTTTCATTAAATAATCAAAAGTGGTGAGTTGTCAATTTCCTCAAGTTTTGTGAGATGGTGTCAATTCTTGCAAGTTGTTTTTTCGCGAGTGTTCGTTGTTTCAGTTATTTCGATTGATTTTCAGCAACGGTGACCTTGACCCCTGGCAGGCGGGTGGAGTGTCGGACAACCTGGGCAACCCCACAATCTACACTCTCTCCATCGCCAACTCCGCCCACCATCTGGACCTGAGGACTAGCAACCCTCTGGACCCGGACTCTGTGAAGGAGGTGAGGGCGGCCGAGTTCCTCATTGTGAAGGGATGGCTCAAAGACTACTACAAGGGATACATGAAACAGTCCGCCAATAAGTATCCTGTCTAAAGAGAAGATAAAGACAAAGTGGAAACAATATCGGAATTATTGTATGCCTCTAAATCTGATTTATTTGGAAAAATTTAACAATGTAGAGATCTTAAATGTTTTTCCCCAGTTTGAAGTTTAAAATGCAATAAAAAATGGCGACCAAAATTATTTGCCAAAAGTTGATCATGCCGCAACTTACATAGAAAATCTGTTCACGTGTTTAATCTAACATGTTAAAATGAAGTTGGTAGCATCAAAATTCAGTAGCGGATTTAAGGGGGCGCATGAATTCCCTTTTTATATATTTAATTCCTGACGACCTCCTTTGACCCCCCTTTGGTATTATTTTGAGTCATCGATTTTTGGCTGACTGATCCTTAAAATTTTCTAAATGTGCCTTTGGCGCCAATACTAATTTTGAGGGGCGAATGCCCATACTAAAATTTTGCCAGTGGAGTGGAAGTATTAGACAAAACAGGGTCCTCTATAATCAATTCCGTCGGCTTAAAAAAGAGACAAACATTTTCGAAATAAAAGTTGAAAATTTTTATAGAAAAACATACGGGGTTACTTTAAAAAAAGCCAAACTTTTCTCACGTTTATTTTGTAGCGGTTCTGTGTATTTCTTCAAAATAGCCTTTTAATTTTACCAGTATAGATTTACTGCCTTCAATACTTTGAAGTAAGTTCAAATCAACGAATATTTGGTTGGCTACGAGTAAAAAATCAGTGAATTATAGTTCACAGTCCTACCTTTCCTCAAAGTTGATTTCAAGTACAGAAGCTGCTTTAAGAAGAGTGCTCTCTAATAATGCTGCCTTCATTTTCTTCTCGGCTCAAAAATCAATAACAGACTTCTGGCTTACTGATAATTTCAGACATATTATTGACATTTTCTTTGTTTCATGTCAGTTTCCATGAAAGTGTTGAGAGGAAAACGTCCTTCTCCCTTTTTCATTTTTAGTGAATTGAAATTCGAAATTGGTCACGTGTCTTGTCTGCAAATAGAAAATTAGATTGTACTGTTTGGAATTTTCTCGATTCTCACGGTAACATCTGAAGGTTTTCTAGGCTCCCAAAAATAAATTCTCTTGTAAAGCAAAGCTTAGTTTTTCCTTGTAAAAGTTTTACTGCAAAGGAAGTGCCCCTGGATAAAACGTCTTTTGGCATATACCGCAAACCGTTGCATTTGAAGTGCACCTTGATCAAAGCCAAATTTTAAAAGAACTGTGACTTTAAGTGAGATAATTCCGGAGGATTGGTTTGCTCATACAAAGTGCTTATGGCCATTTCAAAAGCTTCATTGAGCGGGTCATTAGCGTACAAACTCTTGAAATCAAGAGAAATCAAATTTTCTTATGTTCTTTAAACAATGTCTAAATATTGTAAAAATGCTAATCTTAGTGATGCATAAAATGAGCGATAACTTTTGAAAAATGCTTCAAAGTTTTCTAACAATATTCCATCTGTGTAGAACAGGCATATTTCTGAATTCAAATTCAATCATCAAGTCGAACTATCTGCCATTCAAGTCCAAGTTCAATTTCTAATAATCCCAAAATCAAATCCAAATCCAAGTCAAGTCTCCGAAATTTTTCTAAATCAAAAGCAGTGTCTTTTTTATGTCACAGTATGAGTTGTTTTTTTTCGCCAATTTCGAAACATTGCATTTCGATGCATTTTTTTTTTCGAAATTGTTATCTTCGATCGTCAGCAATATAAATTCGGTTTGTATTGTGCCGTGAAAGTGTTGAGAGGAAAAAATACTTCTCCCTTTTTCATTTTTAGCGGATTGAAATTTGAAATTAGTTACGCGTCTTTTCTGTAAATCAAAAACTACTTGACTTTTTTGATATTCACTGTAACATCTGAAGGTTTTCTAGGCTCCCAAAAATAAAACTCTCTTGCAAAACAAAACTTAGTTTTTCCTTGTCAGCCACATTCCTTCTGATAAAATTTTTTGAATGTATCATCAGGATTAAAAATCTTTCAAAGCTTTCGAACTTATCATAGACCAGGAAAAAGTGATCTGAAAATGCTTGCAAAGGTTATGGCAGAAAAACTATACAACTGTAACTACATAATAAACTATAATTTCTTTAATAAAAATTTCATTTGCAATTCGGAAAAATTTTAATTTGGTTCTTTTTGTAATATGTTTTCGTTTCGGGATTTTTTTCTTTTTAAATCTGACTGTCAATTTTTTTGAAACTGTTCTACCCGAGTTCTATTAACAAGAAACTATTCTACCTGACTAAAGTCTTTCTACAGTTTCAGTGTTTGCTCCTGGCTCCTGATTTCTTCGCGAGTGTTGATTTTCGATGTTTTCCTCCAAATATGCCAAACTTCTACTGTGAGTAGCTTGTGAGTGATAACTGTTTGGTCTATAAGCTCTGACTTAAGTTCAGAAATTCTGCCTAACTTTTTTCCACATTCTGGCAAAAGCTGCCCTCTTAGCACACGACGTTCATCAACCCTCTAGCCTAAATTTTGCACTAACTAGTCGATAAAAGGGAGTTAAGTCCACTACATGTTAGCCTATACGCCACTATGAACATCAGTTCACGTGCAAAAGTTTTGAGAGAGGGGCGAAGATGTTTTTATTTTCTTGCAGTGAATAATATTAGTGACCCGGATAATTGCTTTAATTTTGCAGCTAGCTGTTGTAATTGATTGCCTCAATATTGCTTTCTCAAAAAGGGTGAGTCCATTAACCATTTCTCGTTTATCTGCTTTAATACCAAAACATTTAACATTTTCTTGCCCTCATTGATTTTGTCAAGAATTTCAGACACAACGCTCTCCGATCATTTTTCCGTATACTACTTTTCGATGCATTGTTTCAAAATTTTTTTCTATGCTCTCCCAAACTTTTCTCATTTTGGGGTTCTTCCGAAAACTCGATTGAATGTCCAAGGAAAAAATTACGTTTATTGTTGTTGCCATAGAATTCTTTTATAGTAGGCTGGAAATTTGCATCAAGACTTTTCATTCTGCCTTTTTAGTTCGACGTATCAACTTTTTCTGAGTTCCACGGTAGATTCGGTTGTGATCTTTTTTCAGCAATGTCATTTTGGAATTTCTTTCTTTCATATAGTTTCGTAGTCTATGAGCCACAAAATGGCTTGTTTTACTGCAAAGGAAGTGCCCCTGGATAAAAGGTTTTTTGGCATATACCGCAAACCATTGCATTTGAAGTGCACCTTGATCAAAGCTAAATTTTAAAAGAACTGTGACTTTAAGTGAGACAATTCCGGAGGATTGGTTTGGTCATACAAAGTGCTTATGGCCATTTCAAAAGCTTCATTGAGCGGGTCATTAGCGTACAAACTCTTGAAATCAAGAGAAATCAATTTTTCTTATGTTCTTTAAACATTGTCTAAATATTGTAAAAATGCTAATCTTAGTGATGCATAAAATGAGCGATAACTTTTGAAAAATGCTTCAAAGTTTTCTAACAATATTCCATCTGTGTAGAACAGGCATATTTCTGAATTCAAATTCAATCATCAAGTCGAACTATCTGCCATTCAAGTCCAAGTTCAATTTCTAATAACCCCAAAATCAAATCCAAATCCAAGTCAAGTCTCCGAAATTTTTCTAAATCAAAAGCAGTGTCTTTTTTATGTAGAAGTTTGAGTTATTTTTTTTCGCTAATTTCGAAGCATTGCATTTCGGTACATTTCGTTTTTCGAAATTGTATTCTTCAAGTGTCAGTAAAATAAATCGGTTTGAATTGTGTCATTCCTCCGGATGGCACTGCCGATTACTTCGACGAATGCTGAAAACAACATTAAAAGCGTTCTTGTTGAAATTCAAGTGAAATGGAGGCTCAGAAATTACCAGACTTTGAATTTCGAATTTTCCTTTTGGACTCGAACATATCTCGGAAATATCAAACCCCAATTTTGACTGAACAACGCGTCAAAACCAACAATCGATTGCCACACAAAAATGAGTCGTACGCGAGGGTAAAAGATAAAAAAACCTCTTATCGTGACACGAAGACACAATAAGGGCGTGTACCAAAAGAAAGTAGTTTGAAAAAATGGTCCAGTGGGATATTCGGGACGGATCCGAACCCTTCCGGGCAACAAAAATTGGGAGATAACGACGTTATATCCTGGAGGGGTCGGAATTGGAAGCCCTGTGCACAGAGATTTTTAATGAACTTAAATTGTTTTTAGCAGCTGTAATGTCCTGAACGCATTGATTTGTAATCAGATATTAATTTAGTAATTGAGAGCATGAGCAATTAGAGTCGAGAAAAGAGACGATTCATATCTACTGGATCTAGTATACAAGTGTAACTGAAAACATCTTATTGTGGTTTTCTAGCCGTGTTAAAAAAATCACGCTGTCTGGGGATCCGAGACCCAGCTATTGGGTTATTTCCGCATGCAATTGAAAGCTGATCAAAGTCATTTGATTGATAGCCCACAGATGGTAACATAAAGTTAGCCCGTAAACAGACCGAAAAAACAAATGACTGGGTCAAGACGGTTAAAAACGAGTGGGAGTAAGGTAACTGTCGTCTGCCAGTCGCTAATAGGAACCCTTACTACGCTCCGTCACTGTGTTATGCCTGTGCGATTGTTACAAAGGCTTAACTTGTGTACCAGTCGCCTACTTTAGTCACATTTGAGGTTAAAGAAAAATAGGCCTATAACCATTGGCTCAAGAGTCAGGCACACTATCTCTTGTGTTTTTCTACCTCAAGCAGTCGGAGCTAATTTGGTTCACTTGCGACATGAGACTGAAACCCGCGTTACAGCTTAAAGGCCACACTACCAAAATACCCCTCATCCCACTCTAGAAAATAAGACGCTCCTATACTCAGTCTCAAAATACCCAGAATACGCGAACGCCGTTAACAACAGGGTGGGAAACTTATTTATAGTTACTTTTTGTTAGACAGTGGACCTTTGATCCATTTCAGATGGATCAGCCTAAAAACTCTCCCTACCTCGACATAACAATAAAAAACACACTCAAGAAAAATAAATAAGGTACTCACATACCGACACGACCTCTAGAATTGAGTGACTAATCTATAAAGCGACTCTAGAATCGATAGGGCAATTGAGTTTAACTTGAGAA